ATTTAATTTTGTGAAAAAAGAAAAAATACGTGTATATAGTTTTAAATTAATGTACCACACGGACATTAAAATACAATTTAGGAAACTTAGTACCTGAGCTTCTGTTTCTAGTTTCTCTTTGTCAACTTTCTCGTTGCTCAAACTGTCAACTGCTTGCTCATTTGTCTTTCTCAGGCCCGCGATCAAACTATTCGTTGGTTGTTTCTGTAAAAATAGAAAAATGAGATTTAAAATATTGATGGTTGTTTACGCCAACCTCTCCTGAATTTTAAGCAGCCCCTAAGCTGAGATAGGTGACATTTAACAACGTGATACCTAACAGAACAAGTAAGTTTAGGAGCTACGTCACGTTAAGTAACTTTAAGTTATTAACTAAAGAGATGGTTTTGGGTTTTTACACCTGTTTCGTAAATTAGTAGCTACACCAGTTTAGGTAACTGCTTCAATAATTTAACTGTTTTATAAAGATTTATAAGTAACGTAAACAAAAACTTCATATAAATGAGAAAAAAAAACAAAACGAAAAAGTACATCAAGATACGATAGTAAGTCCAAAACAGATTACTTACGCTATTGGCTCTTATTTTCTTTAAACAGCCTTCAAGCCACGTTCGTATTGTTTGTTTGGCGACCTCCTCCTCAATCAGGAACTCGAACTCCTCTCTAGCCAACAATTCTTCCATCTGCAGAGACTTACGGATGTCCACCGTGCGGTACGAGAGCATACTGGTCACATTACATTCAAATATTAGTAAATAGTATATACTCAACGATTAAATTGCAAAAACAAACATTACTGCTTAGAAAATAGAGTCCTAACGGTTGTCAACTTACTTGATGACATCGTGGAAGGTAACATCCTCGCCGTTGTGAAGTCGTTCGAGCTCATAGCACATGTACTTAAATAACAGCCTCTCCTTGTGGGTGTCACATTCTAAACGACCTTTTAGAAGGCGCAATATAAATTTCACCTGAAATACCAATGTTTAAAGAAGTTACAGATTTTATTGCTCATAAAAAGAACAGAATTAAAGACAGTTGTTAGCTTGCAAATGACATACATATAATAATGATTTTTTTGCTAATCATTTAGGCACATGTTTGCACCGAGTATATCCTTACCTTTCTAACCGGTATAACTCCTTTCTGATGGACATCAACCACATTCCAAGTATTTTGAAAGTTTCTTATATCAGCGTAAGACAGTAGAGCATCTTCTTCGTTCGAGTAGAACAGTGAAAAGTTCTCCATGATAATAGCTGCAAAATACAAAGGTTGTGTCTGATAAATTATATAATTATATAATAAGAAACGTATTTCATTATTTTTAATTAATTTAAATAGTGTTTTTACATCATAAGCGTTTATAATGCGAGTTGTACTGACCCACAAGCAAGTTAAGGACGATGTAAGTAATGATGACGTAGAAAGTGCAGAAGTAGGCTAGTGATGCGGTAAAGTTTCCGCAGTCAGTCTCCCAGTAGTTGTCTGCGGGCGTACAGTAAGGGGGCGCCACCATACAGTCGTGCATTATCTTGTTCCAATCCTCGCCCGTCACTATACGGAACAACATCGCCACGCTGTGAATCGGCGAGTTGAAATTTGCACGCCTAAAACAAAATACATATAGCTTTTAATCAATATTTTTCCCGATCCGGGATTTTAACACGCCGACGATCATAAAGGTAGTCTTCCTGTCATACTCGTCAATAAACTAATAAATAATGATAATTAAGAAAAAAAATACGTCAAGCGCGTCTGTTTGGAGTTGCCGCGTGGGTCATTTCGAAATCAACCATAACAATCCAATGTTTTAATAACATTGTCATTAAAATGTCAACCACAGTCTGTTGTATAACCCCATACGAGATACGAGATTTTGCCCTAATAACACAAGTAGCGTACACGTACCTGCCAATACCTTCGCCGTATTTGACATTCCCGAATACAATAGTCCCAGCGAGCGCGTAGAAGAAAACAAGCAGAAACATGCCGAATATGATGAAGAAACTCTTGCACACACTCACGCCGACGGTTAGCATTAACATCTTCAGCGTCGTGTGTTTGCCCGTTATCGTGAAGAAACGGAGAATAACTACCATAAAACCCACGAAGTATGACAAGTCGTTCTACAATCAAAAGAATATTAGTATTATTCATTAAATAAAGAGATTATAAACTTAAATTACAATCCTATTTATACACACAAGATCACATCTGTGTTCCATTGAGGCAGGCAAGTGACACGATTCTGGTCCATATCTTCATGCAAGCTTGTCGATCGATACTATTGTCTTGGCCCTGTTTCAACATGTCATCTATTTGGTAGACTACTATAGTGTCTCTCTACCGACTTCTTAGATAATTCAATGTTAGGAAAATATACAACATACTGTAATTTCCAACGTACCTTTAAAGTGAAATGCATAAAAATCCAGATACATCCTGCGACAGTGACAAGCAGATCGTATCGGTTGCGTCGACTCTGCCAGTAGCCGCGCGGAGTGAAGGCGATGGTCTTCAGCAACACTTCTACTACAAACACTAGCGTCAACAGAGCTGACGTCAGCGCCAGTTGCTCCGTGTACGGCGAGTATCGAGACCACTGGAATGGAAATTAACTCGATTACACACCTTTTCTCATTTATTTAATATTTAATAGTACAAAACCAACATTTTATACTATCATAAAACCAATAAAAAGAAAATAAAATGGGCGTTCGAACGGATATTGTATTTACGTTCACCGTTCAGTGAAATTTTTTTATCCACTTTTAATCTGTAATGAGATAAGCAGACTTGCAATTTTCAAGAGGTTTCCGTGTCTGTTGTTCCTAGTTCTACTGTCTATATCTACTTTAAATAATTGAATTTGTTTACTAACCGTGACAGCTAACAGTCCACTGTTCAGAAGCACCACGATGGCGATCACTCGTTTGAAGCTCAAGTTCTGTGTGACGTCATATGCAAAGGCTCGCACTTTTCTTTTGTTGGGACGAGGTGGCAAGTGCAGCGGCTGAGCGATTTTCAATCTCTTTTTCAAGTCACACCTAAGATAGATATATATCAAATTAACCGTTTCTATGGTGATAAAAGGTAAAACTATATCTTATAGGCTCTTTGGCTATTTTATCTTTGAAATGGCGCCGAAATCTGTAATTTCATACTTTGCTTGGCTGTAAATGCTAATGATCGCGTACGAAGAATTAATATGGGTGCATGTATTATGCATTAGTGTGTAGACACTAAATATATTTTATAATAAATAAATTGTAGTTTATAATAAACCCTTACCAACGTCGCTGGTCGACAGTCAAGAGAGCAGTTCCCTTGTTTTCTGAGTAATTAGCAATTACCACACCGACGAACAGAGTTAGTCCAATCATGCAGCCCAAGAATATGTACACGTGTATGTAGATTGCATGAACCTGCCGAAGACATACTTTGTATTATGATGGTGAAAGGTGAAAGAACACTGAGTGACTCAATAAATACAGCATCTTTCAAAGATTTCATTAACTTCGTAATTAATTAGAAAAATGTGTAAGTTGACACACTAAAGATAATCGACTTGGCTGCACCAACCATGTTGATCATCTACTAAAATCTAGTTTCTCAATAAAATATGATATGATATGATGCAAACCGGTCCCAAAGCCTTGATCAATACATCTCGAACATCCAACCAGCCTTTGAACGAGAGCACTTCAAATAATGTTAGGAGCGCATCACCAATGTTGTCGAAGTTGAATCGTTTCGGATTTGCCCTGTAAAATACAATTACTGTCATTGTAGAGTTGAATCAAACACATACTCATGGGACTTAGAACTGCTTTCTAAGTTCAAATAGTTCTACTTATGTTTTTACTGTTCTCTTGGACATGCATATTGCATTAATTAATTAATTAAGATACAAAAAGAATAAAATATGAAATATCATTAATATATGTTTAAGAATAGGGTACTTAATCTATCCTAAAATAATCTTATCTCGTTAATAGATTTTCAATCTTAATGCTTGGCAATGTGCTTTATAATCAATTACACACCAGACTCGAGGTACAAGCATGGAAGGGAAGGTCTCGTTAGGTCCGGGTCGGATCTTCATCTTCGTGACGAACACTCGACGCATGAACACGCCCACACAGTCCTCGCGTTTTGTTATAGTAGGGTCGTTGCACCGCGCCAATCTACGTTGAAGTAAGAGATATTGTAAGAAATATTCATAAAAGCCATGTGAGTGTTAACAGTGCTAGGGGTTAATCACAATAGGAGAGATACAAAAAAGGCAAGAGCTCTTTTAACCGACATACTTGTTTGATGAACCAATGAAAAAAGTTACGAGTACAATAAAATTACTAATAATAAAATAAAAGTAATTTGTTATGACTAATTCATAATAAAAATGTTAGATCATACCTTCCGCCATATAGTTGCACCCCATAGCTCGCAAACACAAACATCAAGAGAATTAAAAGCGTTGATACCTGTAGAAAAAAAATTTTGTATAAATTAATAATATTGCATTAAACACAAAAACAGATAATTCCAAACACGAGAACGTTAAGCTGCAATCTGTAAATTGTTTAAGTGTAAGTTTTTGACTGCCAATAGAAAACTGTTGAAGGCAAATCCTCCGCTAACGTCGGTCATCAGTGACCTCATGGTGTTTAATGTATAACAGATTTTCGACCTAATGATCATAGCCAATAAAATTTATAATCTATTAACTTTACCAGCGGCTTCACCCGCGTTAATGGGATAAAAAATTTAGAAATAAAATAATTATTTCAAACTATAATCCGTTTAGCATCGTCAGAGTTGCAAACATCTACACATCTTCACAGACTTCCGCGTTTATAATATCTATTAGTAAGAAGGAAATAGGAAGAGGATAACAAATTTTACAGAATGTAAATAGTTTGGGGTATAGCGATTGCAAAACTAAAACTAAGAGCGTCTTTACTCACGAGCAAAATCTCTTTGAAGCCGCGACACAGCTCGTAGACAACTTTACGCATGTGTGGTACTAGGGTGAAGATACGTAGCGGACGGACACACCGCAGTATCATCAACATCTGGGCCGGGGACCCGGGAGGTACTTTCACTGGCATCCAACATAGGAACGTAAGCGACACCTGCATAGAAATACACAAACATCTCAAAAATATATTTAAAAAACAAACATTTTTAATATTTTGTTTTGGCACATTAAAATGTATAATTTTGACTCAAATGAGCGATACTTACGATGTAGATAAAGACGTCTAGTACGGCTGCTGCATCTTTGAGATAAGCCTTAGGTGTGAAGAACAGTCCATCTGCCAGAATTTTCAACGCCAGTTCTAAGCTCATGAAAATTACGAATCCGTATTCTGCAATCTAAGATAACGGATATTTTTGTTAAAATATGAACACTTGAAGTTTTTGTAGAAAGTATTTTCGTCTTTCTTGTATATCTATTATCTATCTAATACTAAGCGAATAAGGTTTATATTGTTTTACCTGCAGCACAAAGTTTTCCATAACTCTGTACGTTGGCGTCTCGAACATCATGGACAAGCAAGAGAGTGTGGTAACCATAATCATAACCCAGTCCATATACGTCACAAGTCCCAGGAAATTACTGAAAATTATACATACGAATACATATTCCAACAGTACCTAGACCTACTGAAGAAAACGATAATATTCCCTAATAAGCATTAAAAAAAAATATTATCTTTTAGTAATAACAAAAATCAGTGTAACATAGTGTTTCAATACACATGTTAGATCTTTTAAGATCCACTTCTACTTAGTAAACAGTAACACAGTAGGTTAGGATAGGGCTATACTGTTTCAAGTTAGTTTATACTTAGTACGTGTATTAAATTATCATGAACAGCCCAACAGAATGGGATCGCTAAGAACATAACATTGACATAACTAAAGTAACTTGATATACTTACTGGAAACTTTTATAGTGAACTTTTCTCTCATTGCCAGTGACAGGGTCTCGTAGTCTAGCGTCGTATCGCGCGTCCACTATGGCGCGACATATTTTCCTGAAGCGAGACTCTCGCGGTACTATCAGCAGTGGTGTGTCGAACAATGGATGATTTTCACGTAGATCCTCTTCTCGTTGATTTCTAAGTATTAAACATTATCGATTATCTTCTTCAATATACAATAATAAGTTTGAAAATGTACCAAATAAAGGTAGATCGAAGCACCTCTTTCACAGTCTAAACTATCTTGTGTAAAGAAAGATTTAGAGCAAGTGCAAGGATACTTTATAACTTATTGCAGAGACACGCTTTTCTTAAAGACCCACCTTCTCATCTCAGCTTGCTGTCTCTTGGCCTGCAGTAGTCGTATGTCGAGGTATGGCGGACGAGCTCGTGAGGACGGCACGACTCGCGAGGCCGCACCAATATCGCCATTTTCCAGCAAATGTTCATATGTTTGCTTTAACTTGATAGACCCGCTCCGCACCGACCGCCTTATCGAGCGCGACCCAAACCTGAGAGCCATATTATTGCTCACTCGTTAAACATACCACACATTATACAAGTACTTATAACACCACATTGACCAACAAGACAAAACCAAAATAAACTCTGATTATATTTTATGTCAGAGAATCTTCAACTTTGTTGCATAGGTATAAAGTTGAATTCTATTTGTCTTGTTGTCGTACTTTGTATGATGCTACTAAACTTAATACATACTTCTTTTGGTCGACTCGTAGTTGTTTTGCGCTTGATATTGTACCTTGAGGCTTCAGACCAGACTTGCCTCCAGTTGCTAACATAGCTGAATCACCCAGTAAAGGTCTGTGATTATTTGAATCCCTGAAATAAGGATATCAAAAATGAAGAATAATCTATACCGACTTCTCGTTACTGGAATAAACTCAAATAATAAGAACTGTTTTGAAAATTAAATTAAAAAGATAAGATATAAACCTTCCCAATCACGTTAACAGCAACCAAAACGAAACCTGAAAGTTTCAAACAAAATGTGAAATTAATAAAAACAAAGCAACAAAAATCAAAATAACGTTAAATAAAACAAGATCAACACAGAAACATAAAATCGAAAACAAACTCAAACTTTAACAATTGAAGGTAAAAAGAAGCCACTCATTTATTAACACACTTTCAACTTTGCACAGCAGGAAACAAGAAAGTTTTTTTGTATTGATTACTAACTCAATGATGGAGCTGACAACATGTCTGCGCAGTGCAGAGCTCGGTCTCTGGGACGGCGGGGCCACGACGAGGGTCTTCACAAGGCAACGCTTGCGGTACGGGAACGCGATCTTGGCTACACCGATGTACTCGAAGGCTCGACGCGACACATCCCCCCCACCCGCCGCGCCTACCTCCTCCTCGCCCTCCACTTCGCACACAAACTGTCGCATAAACGACTCGCGGACCTATGAGGAAATACATTGATTGATTTTACAGGTATTTTTGTACACATAATGATATAAATCATTATGTGTACAAACACTG